GGCACTAAAACATATTTCTGATGGGTTTAATTCTTTTGAAATCTCACGCCACTATAATGATTCAGCCCGTGTTAGAAATTTTAGTATTTTCAAAAAGCATGAAATGTTCCATAGAATTCACTTCCTAGTATAAAACAGAACTACTTTAGGGAAGAATTGAAAAAAAAAGTGATAGTACAGGAGAATTATTTTTAAAAGGCATTAAAATATTACTTTAAAAAAGGAACCAGCGGCAGAAAAAGATCTCCCACGAACCACTATCAAAAGATGTTATGTTTCTTCTGGGGTAAAATAAATGGATCATTTTCTCTTTGATTAGGTAGTGTACATTTGTCACAGATAGTCTTAACAAATTCTCTGAGTTCTTAGGCGTTTAGGCCTTATATTATTTGCATTCTTTTTTTTAACACTTTATTATATTTATTTTATATGTATGCGAAAGATCTCCCACGAACCACTATCAAAAGATGTTATGTTTCTTCTGGGGTAAAATAAATGGATCATTTTCTCTTTGATTAGGTAGTGTACATTTGTCACAGATAGTCTTAACAAATTCTCTGAGTTCTTAGGCGTTTAGGCCTTATATTATTTGCATTCTTTTTTTTAACACTTTATTATATTTATTTTATATGTATGCGTGTATTGCCTGAATGTTTGTAAGTGCACCCACATTGTGCAATGCCCACGGAGGACAGAACAGGGTGTCGAATCCCCTGGAACTGGAGTTACATATGGTTGTTAACTGCCATGTGGGTACTGGGATTCAAACCCGGGTCTTCTGCAAGAACAGTCAGTCAGTCTTCTTAACTGCTGAGCCATCTCTCCAGCCCCAGTATTTGCATTTCTATCTACTAATCTTACCTACTTACTGTTTTTCTCTTTGTTTCTATGAAAACACTTAACTTCGCTATGATACAAATGCATAAATACTAACATGTATGCCTGTACATATATATGTGTGTGTGTGTGTGTGTGTGTGTGTGTGTGTATACTTAAATATATACATATATTTCAAAATCACTTCAAAGTATTTGTGGGAAGGGGCAAAATATAAATATTAATGTGTGAAGCAAATGCTGTTATTAAGCACTTTCCACACACCAGCTTATGTGCTACATGTGGCGGGTGCAGTTTAATATACAGCATTCACTTGCTCCAAAAATCTATGACTAAGTGGTCAGGCCCATGAACACATCATAGCCTTTACAGGATGGTTCTTACTTCAGCATGAGGAGACTGGAGATATCAGCTGATAAGTGAGAGCAGATCACACAGAACTGCCATCAGGACACCTCCACGGAGCCCAAGCTCTGACAGGCACCATCTACCTGACACTGGGCTACTGTCTCACTGTCTTCCACCTTCACATAGTGCTTCTATCATAGAAAAAGTTAGTATAAAAAAAGTGCCCAATGGGCTGAAGAGATGACTCAGCGGTTAAGAGCACTGACTGCTTGCGCAGAAGACCTGGGTTCGGTTTCCAACACCCACCTGGTGGCTAAGAACTGACTGTAACTCCAGTTCCAGGGGATCCAATGCCCTCTTCTGGCCTCCATGGGCATTGCATGGCAGGTGCTCTTACATACATGCGGCAAAATACTCATACATAAAAGAACAATAAATAAGTTTTTAAAAACTGTTCAAGTCCAATGAAAAGCTCGGCAGGTAAAGACACTCCTGCCAAGACTAACAACCTGAATTCAATGGCCAGACCCACCTGATGGAGGGAGGGGACTCCTTCAAGCATGCTACATATGGCCCACACACATATACATGCAAACGAATGCAATAAAAAACTTTAAGTGCTCGGTAAGTTAGTTACTATTTTCCATGGCAAAAAAAATTAACAAAGATTAAATCAAGTAGTCAAGAAAAATAAAAAGTCACCAGTATATTAAGTTTAAACTATGGTTTTCTAAAACAATAAATAACATTTTCTACATTACTTTGAGTTCTGTTTATTACTTTGCGTTACTCACCAGAATGCTGAATCTTGTAGACCCATCATGTTCATCAAAGCCTTAGACTTTTTTCTCTCTTTGGTAACATTGAGTGACACAAAATATATAAATGAGGAGAAATAAAGCAAGCAGAATAAAATAAAAATTTCATTTTGAAGAATGTCTTTAAAAATAGACGGTAATGTCTTCATATTTATAGCAGTAACTGACATCAACTCTTCCATCACAGAGTGATTTGTTGTGATCTAAGCAGAGAGGCAAGCAAACAAATTACTAAAGGATGTAATTGACAAACCCTGAGTAGGCTTGAGACTGCACCAATGTGAGCCTCCTGGATTTTAATGCTGTACTATAGTAATGTAAGATGTTAGCATTAGAAGGAGCTGAGGGAACACTTGGTTTTGCAGCTTCCTATGAACCATTTCAGAATTGAAAGTTTAAAATTAAGCAATCTATTCTTTGTTTAAATACCTGCTTCGTTACACAAATGTTTAAACCTGACTTTTCATCATTGCTATGGTTTAAATGAGTCCTCTAAAATGCATATGGACACTTCATCCCATTTTAATGACATTAGGGGTGAGGTGCTTGGAGTAGTGACTAAGTCATGGGGTCCCACCCTCATGAATACTGACTCACTCAGGAAAGGGTTAAAGGGCCCTTGGAATGTGCACTCTGCCCTTTTGCTTTCATGCCATGTGAGAACAAGGTGTTGCATGTCAGAGACGAAAACTCTGAAAAATAACTTTCGGTTCTTTTTTGATTACCCAGTCTCTGGTTTTTAGCTATTTTAGGACAAAGGAACCACAACATTCATCTTTCATTAAAATTTTTGATGCCTCTACGGTGGTTAGTTTCCAGGAAGCATTAAGCATTTCAACTGAGCACTTACTTCTATAATAGCGGCATTAATGGCAGTTTGTAAAGCCACAAATCCTTCTTCCCAGTATATGGACACTGTACACCAAGCCTCATCATAGTCACCCCAGCAGTTCCCTGTAAGGACAAGGAAAAGCACAATAACCGTTCTGGATGGGGGTGGTGGGAGAAAAAGAAACAAAATCATAAGAAAAAATAACTGAGAAGAGATTCCATCAATCAGAACTTTTAACACCATTAAAAAAGGAAATGAAAGATAATAAGGTTATTTTATAGTCTTGGAACAGTGCAAAATAAATTTCTTTGATGAGCGGTGACTGGAATGTTTTCTGTAAATACAAGTATATATCTTTTGTACACAGCAAGAAATTACATTAGTCTAGGGATGTGACAGTCTTGGGGGTTTTCTTTTAGATCTATGACTTCTCTAACCATAACCATGTGTATTTGATTATGCTTACAGTACCACACTTGAGTTTCCTCCCATTGAGTGGGTTTTTAGTCCAATTAGGTAGCTGTTGATTGTCCCCAAGATAAAAGTGCCACTACTGCCCCAATGTCATATGCTGTGACAGTCTTTGATGTGGTTATTTGGTCTTGAAGATGGTGTTAGGCCATTGACTGATGTTTTTCCTTGGCACCTTCACAGTGCTCGTCAAAGCTCTGAGAGCTCGCCTTCAGGGGAAGTGCTTTCAGGTCAGTTCCAGCTCTGTGGCTCCAAATCCTGTGTCTGAAGTATGTTCTGTCTTCAGCAGTAGGGTCTATTACCAAGTACCACAACTGGTCATACACTCACATTGTCTATGAATTGCCCAGGCCTAAGTGACACATCTACAATGCAACCTCTACACCTAAGGCAAACAGAACGTCGAACAGGGGTAATGAAGACAACATTAATGAATCGATTCTCATAATGAAGCTCCCTCACGCAACAGAGGGACAGGAACACAAAAGGTCACAAATGGCCAAAATAAGAGTCTGAAGACTGCTGGTCCTTGGACAGGACTCCTATATTAACCTTCACCCACCCAGGGCTCAGGGACCATCTCAGAGGAGGGGGCAGAAGGATTGTAAGAGCCAGGGAGGAGGTGTAGGACCATATGGAAATAGAGTTCTACAGGCTCCTGGGACTCTGCTCATATGATTCTATGGCAATGGTACCAGCATACACAAGTCCCATGCAAACTAAGGCAGACAAAACCCCAGCATAGAACTGGGGAAATGAATAGCAGACCCCAATCTTAGCTGACGAAACGCTGGCAGCTGATTACTTCTGGGTGAGGAAGAGCTGATCTTCCTAAGACAAGATACTCTAGATAGTAGATAGATTGACTAGACCTCAGTAGATGGACTTGCACTGGGGAACATCTGGGGTCACTGACTTGACACCTTGGGCCTTAATACCGATGACAGAGTATATGGGTTACACTGGGATTGGGGAGCTATAGGGGGTACCGGTGGGGACAGGGGTATAAAGGTGATTAAGATTGCTTGAGATATTCAGTATAAAATACACAAAAATTCAGTTAAATGAATAAATAAATATATATATGATAATAAGGTAATAAGGTAATTTTAAAACCAGGTATACTGGTACATACCTTTAGTCCTGGTACTCAGGAAGCTAACACAAGATCAAGGAGTTCTAGGCCAGCCAAGACTACATAACAAGACCCGATCTCAAACAAAGCAAGCAAACAAACCAACCAACCAATAATGTAATTGTGGAGACAGGGATGGGATGTTAAGATGTCAGGTATATGGTTTGGAAAAATGAGCTACTCAGACACAAACCTCTACAGAAGGGATAGAACAAGTTTCCTGAGACATAAAGAACAAGGCTGTAAAGTTTTCACTCCTAAGCCCCCGCTCACCACAATCCCCAGTTCTATTCCCAGAGACTTGGAGCTTTCCCTAAACTAGAATATGTGCATATGAGGAAACCTTTGTCCAAGAGTGACCTAGGCTTCGTTATCATAGAAAAGTGCACACCTCTAGATGGAGATGAAGATGCTAATGAGATGCAGTGTTTGAAGAGGCATGCAAGCTACTGCACACATTTGCCCTTGCCCCTTCTTTGTATGTGATGACTAGGGAATGGACTATGGCGCTTTATGAGCGAGAAAACAGCAAAGGGGCACTGCCTCTGTCCTGGAACTCTCACGGACTTTCTTCCCAGTACTTTAAATGGCTTCTCTTGTGCTATAGCACAAGAATAAATCTTTTACTTTGTATTTTACTTTGTACCTCTGGCTAATCTTTTTGCTAAAAGCCACGGGACCCACAGATTTATAACATTTTTATTCATAAGGACCAAAATATGCATAGGAAGCCAAAGAAAATGAAAACAAACAGCTCCTACCACATTGAATTCCATGGGATTTTAAAAAATATTTCATTTATTACTTTTATTTTATGTGTGTGAGTGTATTGCCTGCATGTATGTAAGTGCACCTGTGTTGTGCTGTGCCAAGAGGTCAGAAGAGGGTATTGAATCCCTTGGAACTGGAGTTGGGAATGGTTAGCTGCCATGTGGGCGCTAGAAACAGAACCAGGGTCCTCTGGAAAGGCAACCAGTGCCCTTAACCACCATCTCTCCACCCCCTGAATTCCATGGGGTTTTTTTTTTTCTCAAAATGCCAAACTCATCCTAGCCCTACAACTTTCTCCTCTCACTTCTCCCCTTATTTTGATCTGTTTACAAAAGGAACTTCTTCCTAGAGGGTTTTCGTGGCCACTGTAAATATGCAAAATAGCTCTTTATCTTGTTTATATATTTATATATAAATTTATATCCCCCCTCCCTGACTAAAATGGTTCTAATAAGCAGGCACCAGGGCTTAATGTACTCTTCAAGGTCAAGACTAGTGAAAAGCTGGGACTGGAGACATGGCTCAGCAGTGAAGAGCGCTGGTTGTTCTTGCAGAGAACCTGGGTTCATTTCCCAGTACCCACATGGTGGCTAACAATCATTTATAACTCTAGTTCCAGGGGATCCAACGCCAGTTTCTGACATCTGTGGGCATTGCACAATGTGGGTGCACTTACATGTGGGCAATACACTCATCACATAAAATTAAAATAATAAAAATAATTTTTAAAAAAGAATTGTGCAGGGGCTGGAGAGATGGCTCAGCAGTTAAGAGCACTGACCGCTCTTGCAGAGAACCCAGGTTCGATTCCCAACAGCCACATGGCAGCTACAAACCATCTTTAACTCCAGTTCCAGGGGAATCCGAAGCCTTCCGCCGCACTGTACAGACACAGGTGCACTCACATACATGCAGGCGATATACTCATAGACATAAAATAAAAAAATAATAAATAGATTTTTTTTTAATCGTGCAAAGCATGTAATCTGCACTTAGTAAGAGAACAGTAAAGAATGGTTTCTACAGATTTTACCAATCCTACATCCGGAAGCTTCTTTGGATCCATGAGCCTTCCTCCCGTTATCTGCCTCCACTATCATCTAAGTCTACCTCTCAGATCACTATGGGGTTTCATCGCATCTTCGTTGAACCTTTTGCAGCTCATTGTCTGGTTGTATCAGGCGTGCTCTCAATATTCACCACCTATCCCATCCCTGTCTTGATTAAAGTGCTTCAATGGCTATCCAACGGCCTAGGTTTACAAGCTATGACAGTACCTAGTCCTTAACTCCAGATTCATTTTCCCATCACATTCCATGACTCTTCATGCTCTTCTGATCTACTAACAAGCTCCCATTCGTCTTTGTCCTATTGAAGCACAGCATCTCTACCTCTCATAGTTGCTGTGTTTCTGGTCTTAGTTACACATCACTTCTTTAATCCCATAATTCGTTAAGAATCCCCAATCAATCCCCGGTTCCCACAAGTACCTTCTTTTGCACTTGTCATTAATTTCTCAGTGCCTAAATTTCCTGCTCAACTGAAATCTCATCTAATGTTAGAACACATCCATCCCCTTATACCTGTGAGCTCAGTAGATACATGTTGAATTATTCTAGAGTGCTTTGAAAGCAACCTCTAAAAGGAAGGTACTATAAATGTTAGTCTGTGTTCTCATGAAATTGAAAGAATCTGTTCCCCAGCTCTGCCCCTTATGCATTGCTGGAAACATAAAAACTGTCATAATGGTATTTCATATGAAAATTCACCTAAGAAGTCTTCTTCTTTAAACAATGGGATTCTATATGCTGGAAGTAATTTTAACTGGTAAGAGAAAGTGTTGTTAAAGATGATTCCCACAGGGTGAGGTATATTCTTCAGAAGCATTTCATTCAGGTCTTTCCTGCTTGGTACCCCAATGGCCCTTGTTCCTGTGAATTACAAGGTAAAAATAGATATGCTGAGTTGTTATAGCATTTCACGTAAACAAAATGTGATATTTAACTGAGCTGTATTTTATTAGACCTAAGCTAAAGTCATTTTCCACTTAAACTAAACAAACTACAAGCTAAGGTGAAAAATATGATTTCAGAATTAGGAGATGCGCACGAGAATGAGTGTTCTACTATCAATGGGCATCAAGTTTACATACAAAAAAATAGTAAGAGAAAAAGGATTGAAGGAAATGAAGGTAATTATTGTAGTTACTATAGTTCTGAGGTATTCAGAATTCAGACTTACGGAAACAAAAACAATTTTGTCTTATGCAGGAAACCAAGATAACGAAGAGACTCTAACAACCAAAAATTTCATTTGGTAGAAATTGCATATTAAAGAGAAAATACCCACACTAGGAATTTATTATGGGTTTTCTTTATCTTGACTACATAATGGACCTAATTTAATTTGGACAAATCTTAAAGATGCTTATATAGGTATAGGAAAGCACAATCTTCATATTATCCATCCTTGAAAGTTCATATTTATTAACTTGTTAATTTCATGTTGAATATCCATAATCTAAACTTTAGTTAGATTTTTCTTGAGTTTTAAATCTTTTTTGTTTGTTTGTTTTGAGACAGGGTCTCCCTGTAGCTCCAGCTGGCCTGAAACTGGCTGTGTAGACTAGGATGGCCCCAATCTCACAGAGATCTACCTGCTTCTGTCTCCTGAGTGCTAGGACTAAAAGCATGTGCCATCATACCTGGCCAAGTTATAAATCTTAATCATTGCATTTCCACACTAAAAATATACACATTTACCGATGGCTATCTTTCTTATAGTCACTATTATGCAAATATGATATTCAAGTTTTTGTTCTATGTCAAATGAAAGTCTCCTTAAACTGACTCCCCATCAAGCTAAAAGGATTTAAAGAGCTAATTGTTGTAAAAGGAAAAAAGCTAACCTAACTGTATCCTATCTTTGTACTTGAATTTATTAACAGAATATAACACTGTAACTTCAAACTAGCATATATCTTATGAAAAAAATATAAACAATACGAAATCTTTCTTGCTATTAGCATATTTACCTTTCATAAATGAAGCAAATGTTCGATTCATTATCTGTTGGGTTATATTAGAGACTGGCGTATATACAACCATCATAGAAGAGTCGTTAAATTTATCTATCCTTCCAAGATCCTGAGGAGGGATTTCAGGAAGTTGAAAATTTTCTTTGAAATATGAAAACAGACCCATATACAGTCCTATAAGTATTGGGATACCCCATTCCTATAAAAGATTTTAAAGAGAAAACAAAATAAGTCTAGATTGCTTTCCCTTCAAGTCAGTCAACATCAAAGAACTTATAAAGACAAATTCTAATTTTCCCCTAGATTTGACTTTTCCTTGCTATCCACTCTTCACAGCAAGGAAAATTCAGTAAAAGATAAATACTGCATTCGTAGCCACATGTCTCGCTCTCAGACTCTGGAAACAGTTTTACATTCAATCATGAATGACTTAAGAAGCTATCTAGATTCTTGACAGGAGACGTAACAGTGTGAGAAACTGTGTTCCTGGAGAGCCAGTTCTAATCTATAAGGCACAAACTATCCCAGACAAAGCCCATGGTAGCACAGCAGAGACTCTCCAGTGAATCACCAATAGCCAGTTTTCTTCTTAGTACCATCTAGAATATATTCTCTTTTATTGTAATTTGGCATTTGTTCATTTTCATTGTCACTGCATCTGCACATTTGATTTTTTTTCCTTTTCTTAATTGAGTCCAGAATTTCATACAACGTACTTTGAGCCTCTTCAACCTGCCAGGCATCACTGTAAGGAAAACTGACTCTTCTCCCAGAATCCATCAGTTGCCTATAGATCCTCAGCTATGGCTGGGGCTTCCTGCCCACCTCTGCCATCTGTGTCCGGCCCTTGTCTGGCTTGAGTTTGTACAAGTTGTGCACACTGCCATAAGTGCTGTGGGTTCATATGTGCAGCTACCCTGTGGTGTCCAGACAGCACAGTTTCCATGTACTCATCCACCACCTCTGGCTCTTACAGTCTTTCCGCCCCTTTTCTGCAATGATCCCTGAGCCTTAGGAGGAGAAGACACAGTATAATGTCCCTTTCAGGGCTGAGCATTCCCCAGTCTCTTATTCTCTGAACATTGAACATTTGTGGGGTCTCTGTGATAAGTGTCATCTGCCGCAAGGATGATAGCTTTCAATCTTTATAGGTACATTTCAACTGGAAAATACTTAGAGATCAGGAAACTAGTAAAGTGCCACGGGAGATGAAATTCATGGGAGAAGAGAATGCAGTGATGTAAAAGGGAAATGGGAATAGTAGATAGGATGGGTTTA